GGTTTCAATCTGCACCAAAAGAATCCCATCTTACTGCTGCAAAAAGAATCCTCAAATATCTCAAAGGAACTTTAAATGTTAGGTTATGGTATCCTGGTGAGTCCAAACTAAATTTAATTGGATACTCTGACTCAGATTTTGCAGGTTGTAAGCTTGATAGGAAAAGTACCAGTGGCACCTGTCATCTCCTTGGAAGCAGTCTAATCTCATGGCATAGTAAAAAGCAATCATGTGTTGCTCTTTCTACAGCTGAAGCCGAGTACATTGCAGCTGGAAGTTGTTGTGCTCAATCTCTTTGGATCAAACAACAACTTGAGGATTATGGTTTAATTCTCAGAAAAATTCCTCTCTTATGTGATAATACTAGTGTCATTATGTTAACTAAAAACTCAATTCAACATTCTACGACAAAACATATAGAAATTAGACATCATTTCATTAGAGATCATGTTTTGAATGGTGATTGTGAAATTTTCTTTCTAGAAACTGAAAAACAATAGAAACTGAAAAACAACTAGCAGATATTTTTACAAAACCTCTTGCTCGTGATCGTTTTTACAAAATTCGCACTGAATTAGGCATTTTAGATGCATCAAACATTACTTAGTTTTCAAAACTGGTTGTTTTAATCGATAAAAACAAGCTTTAAATCGATTAAAAGCACTTATACAGCATTTTTGCTTACTGTTTTAATCGACTAAATGTCGATTTAATCGATTAAATCAACTTATGTTTCAAACTTTCAAAATTCTTCACTGTTTTAATTGATTAAATCATTACTTTAATCGATTAAAACTTGTAACAAGATCATTTTAATCGATTTCGTCCTGTTTTAAATCGATTATTACTCTGGAAAAGAAAATTTAAAGGCTTTAGTTAATGGTTGTTCTTGTAACATGCTACTAAAGCATGGTTCCCTTATCTTTACACGTATTAATTGTATTCATTACAAACGTGTTAATAAAGATAAGTTTGAATCAACTTTGATTGATCTTTATATGAGTAAAGTATCTTGTTCATATTTTCTTATTGTTTTCAAAAACTAAATTTTGTTAATTGCCATACATTTTATTTGCTTTATTCCTCTGTTCCCTATTTTTGATGAAGTCAAAAGGGGGAGAAATAATTGCTTTGCTTTTATAATTGATTTTCCTTATTTAGGGGGAGTAGCAATATAGGGGGAGAAATGGGAAAATGATTAATTCTTGAATACTCACTAATCTATATATTCAAGTGACTTCTTCTGCAGAGTTATTATTCAAAGAGATTTTTGTCTTCATCAAATAGGGGGAGACTGAAAGTGATGAAGATCTTATTGAATTACTTTGGCAAAGATCTTGTTGATTTGATGAAGTAAAAAATGAAGTCAAAAGCTACTTTGTGGCAGTCAAAGGTCACTTAGATAAAAGAGTAGTGGGATAAGTGAGTCTACATCTCTCGTTTAGGTATAATCATTTTTTCTCTCTGTTGCATGAGGTTTCTTCATTTAAAAGATTTTGCAAATGCCTCTAAAAAATGTTTAAACAATTAAAAACAAAGTATTTTGATAAAAGGTTTTTAATTAGCTATTTTAACTAATAACATATAAGCTTTATCAACTAAAATGTTCTTAACACTTTTGTAACAGGTTTTTAACTGATATGTTTTCAAAATAATCGATTGTTTTCATTAGAAGGATTTTTGAAAACCTTCTGCCAGTATTTTAACTGATATAGAATTGATATAATCGATTGAAATAACTTGAAGTGTTTTGAAAGTTGTTCTGTCAGTATTTTAATCGATACAAATGCGAAATAATCGATTAAAACAACTAAGAGGTTTTTTCCAGAATGTTTTAATCGATTAAAACAAGCTTGCTATTAGTTAAAATAACTTAGAAAGTTTTATGAAATCTTTTGGCAGAATTATAATCGATTAAAATGCGTTTCAATCGATTAAAATAACTAAGTGAACTTTTTTCAAAGTGTTTTAATCGATTAAAACAGGTTGTTATCAGTTAAAATCACTTAGAAAAGTTTATAAAAGTGTTTTGCAGTGTTTTAATCGATTGAAAGACGAAACAATCGATTAAAACAGTTTGGAAGATTTTTTACAAAGAGTTTTAATTGATATAAACGGTGTCGTATCAGTTAAAACAAATCTGGAAAATAATCAAGAACTTTTTAACAGATTAAAAGAAGTTTTAACAGATTAAAACAAGACTTTTAACAGATTAAAAGATTATTTTAATAGATTAAATAAACCAGCAGTTTTGAAAATCTTCTATATAAACAGAGTTGCTTGAAATTTTTAAAACACATCTTTTAGCAATCAATCAAGCAATCATAAGTGCTACTTTCAAGAGAGAATCGCGCTAGTTTTTGTGAAGTTCATAGAAGTTCTTTCTTGAGGCAAAATTGCATTCTTTTGGAGAAGAAACACATACTGCAGGGTTGCATAAATCTGGTTTGAGCGTTCTAAGTTTCTTCTATTTGTTTCTTTACTTTCTTTACTGTATTGTGGGTGCCTGGAATTGTGGGCACTGGTTTCTGTAGCTGGAAATTGGCTGCAGGGTTGGTCAACAACTGGAATTTGATTCTTGGTGAAGGTTTAGGTGCAGGAACTGGAATTGTGGTTCTTGTGGTAGATTGAGTGTGAGATTAAAGTTGTAATCTGTAAAACGTTCAATCTAGTGGAACCCAGCTGGAATTTGGCTGGAAACTGGACGTAGCCCTGGGATTGGGTGAACCAGTATAAATCTTTGTTGTATCTTTCTAAACCTTTCTCTCTTTTAATTCTGTCACTATTTTTATTTTGATTGCTTGCTGTGTGTGATTCAAGAACTGGTCAGAATTCTTAATCTTTGAAATAGATAATCTGTAAATTGCGAAAATCTTTCAAAGATCAATTCACCCCCCCCCCCTCTTGATCTCAGCCTACATTTCTAACATGAAATTCATAAGAAAACTTAATAAATGTTGATTCCTCACACAATTAAGAGATTTTCTAGCATTAGGGTTAGGGTGTTAAGCAATTGATACATTCATTCCATTCTTGGCAATTAACGTAACAAATATTCTTACCGTGATCTAGGGTTCAAGATATATTTTCCAATCATACCCCAAACATAAAGAATAAATCATTCCAAAGCATAAAGGATAAGAATAACAACATCAAAGCATAGATTAATATCTAAAAATATCACCATGATACAAAAGAGTTCAAAGGAAGTGCACCCAATCCCAAGAGAATGAAGTTAGTCACTCATGTTGATCATTATAATGCTCTAATTGATGAAGAATTGATGAATTGATGAAGATTAGACAAAACCCTAACAGTAGTCGTGCCTCCTCCTCTCCAAGACTGCTTACTTTTCTCAAAACACAACTTATCTTTTTATAAGAGAATTTGGGTCGGGCCTCGCATCATTCATTTGCTTAAGCGTTCTTCTTTCTTTCAATTTTACTCCAATTATGCTGACAATTATGCTCATTACTCTTGTATCAAGGTATTCTCGAATTCATCCTATATTGGGAGAAAAATATATTAGAATTAGCATCAGTTAAGTGGTTTCATAACAATTCAAGGTATAATTATATCAACTTTTTACCACTTAACACCCAAGTGCAGCGACAAACGTAGTGATGCAATAAATAAATGATAACAAACTTGAGTGAGAGTTTGACTTATGGCGGCAGCGACAATGTAAGGTGGAGGTGAGGCAGGATAATATCAATTAGGGTTACTAAAGTATTATAATTATTTTTAAAATTTAAAATAAATGATTAATTAAGGTTAGTGTATTATTATAAATATTTTTAAAATTTAAAATTAATGGTGGGTTGCGAGTCAACCCACCATAACCCGACTCAAACCCGTTTAACCAGTGGGTTAAGTGAGCGCGGTTCATTTTTAGCCCATAATCGGTAGAAATAAAAAAAATCGAACTCAACCGGCTCGAACCCGTGATGAGCCGGGTTGGCTCACGAGTTATAACCCATAATGATTCAATCTTGTCATTCACAATAATCTGATAATAATTCAAACTCCTAAAAAATGTAATAAGTAAAAAAAATATAATATAAAGGGGCAGGTAATAAATAATAAAAATATAATATAAAATGTAGGGAAGCCCCTAGATAAACGAGAGGGGTTGTAAATAAATTAAAAAACGTAAATTTAACTTTATCATCGATTTAGCAACCGAAATTATTGGTCACTATTTTTGCATTAAATTATTATTTAAATAATTCAATTAATATATTAGCGACCGATATAAATCGATCGCTATTTTTTTAACTTTGCCACCAATTTAGCGACCGATTTAATATATTAATTTTCGTCGCTATTTTGGTATCTAAGAAATAAGTGACTGAATTATTTAGTTACCACCTTATCGGTCGCTATTTTGCGACCGAAATGAAAATCGGTCGTTAACACATTAGCTACTTGACCTTTTGCGACGACTCATTTCGGTCGCTAATTTCGATCACTAACTGATTAGCGATCAATTTTTTGACATTTGCGACCAAGTTTTTCGGTCGCTAAAACTGTTTTTTCCTGTAGTGTATGCGCTATCCTTAACAAGACTATTATTGCTCTCTTCTTCAACTACATCCAATACCTGAATCAGTCTTTTAGGACACTGGTGAAACACCTTGTACCCATGCATACAGTCTGCTACTCACCACGTTTGTTTGTTGTTTGGCATGTTCTTATTATTCTTGCGTAAACATGCATATATAAACCTTGGTTAGCGAAAATTCCCTTCATCGTTTCTTCTTGGCCTTGCATTGACTTCACCAAAAATCTCTTCGTTGGATCCCAACTATGTGTCTAAAAAGTTTAAATTAGTTAAATCCATCTTATCTTATTCAACTGAAGTAGAGAAGGGTCTGCTCAGTCAAAATAGAGAGAGCATTTCGCAGACCTTTGGAAGAGAAAAAGAAAAGAAACAGTTTCATTTATTTACTAAGTCGCCTTCCATTCATTCTTGTATCAGACTGAAATTTTGACAACAGGTTCACGGCATAAGGGTCTTTGTTTTGACCAGGATCGACAATTGGAGGTTTGTGGTTGGAGATATCAATCTCGCAATGTGGTTGCTTTTTAAGTTTCTTGTCTCTGGTCTTAAAATTTGAGAACATTATTGTTTTGATATATTAGTTACTTTGTAGACACTTATTTGTGCATTTTGATTTAACTTCCTTGTATTCACACTTTGATCTTAGTCACACTTTGATTTTAGTGAAGTTTGATTGACTGTCTTATGCTTGTGAGTTTTTACTTTTACTTCGTATTGAGTAGATTTTTCATTGCTAAAAATATTAATATTCTCTGTTGTGATTATTTTTGTCATTATTTGTTATTATTGTTCATCACTAATTTTTGCAAGATTAGGAAAATTATTTTCACTGCATCATTTGATATTTTAGGTTATTTAGTTGTTTTTCCTATCATATCCTTACTCGTTTCCTTTATTTTCTTCATTTTTATTTGGTTTGTCCATACAGATACCTCGTGTAGCACCCATTCCAATTGGTGAAGATAATCCTCCCATGCAGATTTTCGCATCATTGCCTTTTATGCAGACGCTAGTTAACTTGCTTAGTAAAGTGAAAAATTTGGGTGAAGGTTTTCTTATTCTTCCGGTCTTAGTTGTCTCCGATGAGGGGTTAACCATATTATTTTCTTGCAAACACTTTGAAAGAATGACAAACCCTTTTGTGAACTTAGTACACATACAAATAATTCTCCATTAAAATATTATTATTATATATCCGTATCTTATTAACCATGATAATACAAGTTAAATATTATTTTAACATTTTTCGAAATAGACATTTTACATTTATCATAACTTTTTTCAAGGATTACAACTTTAATTTTTGTGTAATATTATTTCACATTTATCATAATCTTTTCAAGGATTACAACTTTTATTTTTATGTCTTTTATAATCATTGTATAATAACTTTAAAGTATTTGACATATTTTTATCAATTATATAATTTACAATAAATATATATATATATATATATATATATATATATATATATATATATATTATCCCCTTATTGAAAGTACGTAGTGCCAATGGGTCATTCATTTAATTTTCTGAATTAATATTGTCGAATAAACCCAAATAACAAAACTCCAAATACAAATGAGCTTTTAAATAAATATTCATCAATAACTCAATCACTACAAGAAAAAACACTATTAACGACCAAAAAAATCGGTCGCTAATGGCAAAAAATCGGTCGTTATTTAGTTAGCGATCGAAATTAGCGACCAAAATGGTTGTTGCAAAAGGTCAAGTAGCTAATTCGTTAACAACCGATTTTCATTTCAATCGTAAAATAGCGACCAATAAGGTGATAGCTAAATAATTTGGTTACTTATTCCTTAAAGACCAAAATAACTACCGAAATTAATATATTCAATCAGTCACTAATTTGGTGGCAAAATTTAAAAAAAATAGCGACCGATATATTCGGTCGCTAATATATTAATTGAATTATTTAAATAATAATTAAAATCGGTCGCTAAATCAGTCGCAAAAATAGCAACCGAAATTAATATATTAAATCAGTCGCTAAATTGGAGATAAAGTTAAAAATAATAGCGACCAATATAATCGGTCGCTAAATTTCAATTGTATATTATAATATATTTGTAGCGACCGAAAATTCGGTCGCTAATCTAACCAAATCTGAAAATTTTTGTTTAAAATTTTGTATATCCAATTTTGCAGAATTTGTACCTGCTTAATTGATCCAAACAGAACACAAATGAAAACTTAAGAACTAAAGTCAAATTATTCAAATCATAATAGGAACAATTCAAAGTCATGCAAGCACTCAAGATTCAAAGTCATAACAGAAATAAAATGTTTATAAACAACCACTCAAGATTCAAAGTTTTAATATGATAAAATTGGAAATTAGTCCTTTGGTATATTGTCAGTATCATGTTGACTTGTAGTAGGATGACTAGGGTCAGGCATAGGATGACTATTCATCTGAATATGTTGTAAAACAAGTTGCATCTGCTTCATCTGCTCATCTTGTTGGCGTTGATTGTTCCTCAACTCCTGCATCTCTTCTTGAAGTGTCTTCTCCTTATTATGCTTTGCCACCAATTTAGCATTTAACTTTTCAATAGTCTCACGCATTTGTTCAATTTGATGAAGTATTAGAGTTTGGCTAATAGAAGATTGAGAACTTGATGTAGTAGTGAACTTTTTGCTCAATGTACCAAGTCCATACACGTTTCCTTTTTTATTTTCACCTCCAACAACTGAAAAGTATATTTCATTATCATCAATGGAGACAATAGGAGAATCTTGTGAAGATGAGCCTTCACGCAAGTTATGTTGATGGACTTCTTCTCTACGCTGCATATGTTGCTCCTAAAAATGAAGTGAAATATAATTATTATGAAGAAAACATATATCGAATAATAAACTATAACTTAGATGTTAAACATACAGCAAGATGACGAGTCTTTTCATTGACCCATTGTCCAGTCTTTAATTTCTTTGTCCTCTCAACAACCTCCCAAATGGTTGGTTCCCATTGAAACTCTGTAGTCTACACATTAAAAATAAGACAAAATTCACTACCTAAAGTCTAATATATTATACTAAATTACTTATATAAAAATATAATAAACTTACCATCTTCTCAAAGTGAGTCTGCAATAGATATGGAACCCCCACGATGAGCTGAGGCACCCTTATCAACAGTCCGATTAGCCTTGGCAATAACACTCTTGTTTTGAAAATCTGGAGAACTCCAATGTAGGTCCAACGATGCTCGAACAGCTGGCGGTATCCAGATCCCCTTATCCTTACCATTCCTAAATTTTTTCATTGAGTTTTTTAAAATTCGAGAACCTTTCTTATCAAAAACATATCTTATGGCTTGCTCTTGTTCCACATCCCAGATATACTCTTTCTGCATAAAAAAAATACACAGCAAACATTTAATTTATAAGGATGAAATGACATTGTTTAATGTAACTATAATTCAAATTATCTTGAACTCTCCAAACCATCTATCACGAAGCTCAAGTGAAACCTTTCTCCAAGTGGGACTTGGTTCATCAAATTTGTTTGATGATTCTAGAGATTATAGCAAGATTACCATTTGCTGGTATAAACCTATGTTCAAACATATTGTGGGATTGATATTATTAAGAAATTGCATATTAAAGAATTATAATTAAATTAAAACATACTTACTCTCCTTTGTCTGCTTGTAACCATGGCCTTTGATCAACCATATTGCCAGACTCAACCTCAGTTGCAACTGACCCAGGTACCTGTGTAGGTTGACCAAATGTCGCCTCAGTAGAGAAGGTAGTAGGAATTGTTTCTCCTGCTATAGCTACAGGAGATTCCTGCTAAGTTGAGGGAGATGTGCATTCTACAAACATAGGACTAGTAGATTCCATGGATCTTGGTCGAACAGAACTAGGAGAGTTGGTGTTGGGTGAACCTCTATCATCAACAAGTACACCTCAACCACCACGATGAGGTGGTCTACGACCATGACTTCTACCCCTTTATGGCATCTACAAGCAGATCTTATTACATACGTAACATGCATAAAATTAAACAATTGAGACAATGAATTACCTGATTTTGTTTTCTACACCTAAATGTGTCAGTTAGTTTACCACTCATTCACTACAAATAATTAAATCATAATAATATCAATATATATATATATATATATATATATATATATGCAATATTAAATAAAGGTGTACAATCAAATTTAACAATTGTAAATGCATGAATTACCGAAGTATTTGTATCATCAAAATCACTCTTAGTCTCATCCTCACTTGAAATATATTCATCCTCATCTTCATTTATATTTCTTTCATTTAGTAATTGTATATCTATTTCTTCTCCCCCACCATTAACATCCGCAAGGGAATCATCAATGAAGTTAGGATCAACATGAAGCACTACTTGAAGTCCTACAAGCTCATCATCTTGGTATGGAGTCTCATGCTCAACTTGACTTACTATATTATCAATGATTCTACTACGAGATTTTGTCTTTATTACACCCAACCAACCTTGGTGTTCCTCTGGATAACTTGTGTAATAAACTTGTTCTGCCTGTTGTGCAAATATGAAAGGATCATATGCTTTATTATATCTTCGTGATTTCTTTACTTCCACGATTCCATACTTATTATCTACTTTGGTTCCTATATTAAGAGTATTGTCGAACCATTCACACTGAAAGAGAACTAAATTCATCAATGGAAAGCCAATATACTCTAATTGAATAATATTATACAATAATCCATAAATATCTGACTCTAATTGACTATTGGTTCCTCGTACATAAACACCATAGTTACAGGAATTCATGCCTTCACTCCAAACAATAGTGTGGAATTTGTATCCATTGATAACATACATAGGCCATGATTCAACTTTTCTCTTGGGACCCCATGCCAAATTAACCAATAATGGATCTTCAATATTATTTTCTAGATTTAGAACCTAAAGACAGTAAAGTCCTTTACACATTAGACTATGTAAGTCAGAATAAATATTTGTAAGACATATAAGTAAAAAACTTACATATTTTTTAAACCATTTAGGAAAATGGGATGAAATGTCTTGGTCAATTTGGGCACCAGAAATAGTAGGATTTAGCTGTCTTAAATATTCAATATAAATACTGCAAACACGTAACAAATTACTCAAACCACACAAAGTAACATGAGTAATTTTGATGTGAGAGGAGTGAAAACATCTTACACAAAATATGGTTGAACCTCTTCACAATTTTGAAGAACATATAATTGGGTAGCATCATAGTCTCTTTGGTGCAGAAAATATGTTTGGGATTTTCCAATTGATCTTCCTGGGTAGTTGAAAATTGAAATAGGCGGAAGGGATGAAGAACCTTCACCTACATCAACATTTCTAGGAATCCTAGTCCTTCTTGTTTCAACATGATCAGGATAAAAAAATGAGGCAAATGTAGATGTTTCTTCCACCAAGTAAGCTTCACAAATAAAGCCCTCCACCCTAGCTTTATTCTTCACTTTCCTTTTTAGGGAGTGTAAGAATCTAAAAAAGAATACAAAAATGGAGTCTTTAAAGAACATATAAAATACTTTAGAAATGGAGGGTGAGTAGTTAGTGTAAACATACCTCTCAAAATGATACATCCAACGATATTGAACTGAACTACCAACCTTTGCCTCATAAGGTATATGAATTGGAAGATGTTCCATTGAATCAAAGAAGCTTGGTGGGAATATTTGTTCCAATTTACACAATAAGACAGGTATATTTTCTTCCATAACTCGTAAGTGTTCAATATTTAGTGTTGTGGAAGTCAATTCTCTAAAGAAATGACTAAGTTCAACTAGTACTTTCCAAATTGATTTTGGCAATGAATCAAATGCAATTGGAAGCAATCGTTGCATGAACACATGACAGTAATGACTTTTCATACCATGTAACTTTCCTTGATTCAAGTCGACACATATACCCAAATTGGAAGCATATCCATCTGGCAACTTAAGTTCTTTAACCCACTTACAAATAAAGTCTTTGGGATTTGGTGAAAGCATATGCTGCCTTTGGTTTG